TCCACACTGTGTTATCACCCCCTTTATCAACTGTCATATCAATCTCCTTTGCACTGTGCGGAACAACTTGAGTTTCTCCAACCTGACCTTAAAACCAGTATCCCTCAGTTCTTTAACCATTCTGATGAATTTCCTTTCGAATCACGTGTCAGACGCTCACATCCTTCATGGAGATCACCTGTTTGTGCAGACCCAAATGCTGTCTGTTCAAATGAGTGATGTTATGACACACGGACAATTACTCAGTGACATCACTCTGATTCCTAGGTATCCTGAACTGTGATAGTTTCCTCTGACCCCAGTGCTTTTGATATCTTTTGAGGGGTAGACTGTAGCATTTGATTTTAAAGTTGGAACACAATGAAATTATTTCAGTATTTTTAACCAGTAATCTACACAATTCAGCTTCTCGTGCTGTTCTCAGATATCTGACTCTGGAGCTGGAGCTCCTTCCCTTACAGCATTGTGAGAGCTCATGTGGGAATATAGAGCTGTTGAGGCAGCAGCACATGGTTGGGAGAATTTTGTCACCCCCATAATATCGTATTATGTGACTGATGTTAAGAGTTGCTTTATAACACTGCTGAATGAGAGACCATCCATTGTTCTGGTTCATTTCTGCTCTCCTTGATCAACTCTCCGTCATTGTCTAACTTCCTCTGTCTTCAATAATGGGTGTGACTCTCCTAGGTATTTTATTGTTACTTCCATTCACTCTCTAAATAAGGTTTATACAGCAGAACATTGCCTGAGCATTTGCTGCTGGCAATTATATTTCCTTAGTAGCTCCCACAATGCTGTTCGGTGAGGAGTTGTTCACCAAGTGGTGATGAAGGAACTGTGATATGTGTCCAAATCAATGACAATTAATTTATATCAATGTAGTGTCTTTCACAGAATGGAAACTTCCAAGCTGTTCCTCGGGAGTATTATAATGCAACGTTTGACCAGAATCACATAATAAGATGTTAGGGAGGTGACAAAATGTGTTATGGTCAGATTTGTTGTTTTGAAGGAGTATTTTCAAGTGCAAAACTGAGGCAGAGAAAAGGAGAGGTTTAGTAAGGAAATTTCACAGTTTGTGGCCTTGGCAGCTAAAGCTTGAGGGCACCAAATGTGAAACAGTTAAAATCAAGAATTTTCAGGAGGTTGGAATTGTAGATAATGCAGATATCTGGAAGGACATTTTTTTAAAAAAATGTCATTCTTGGGGTGGGGGTGGCCATTACTGGCTGGTTTAGCATTTACTGACCAGCCCTAATTGCCCTTGAGAGGGCTGGAGGCTAGAGGACATTACAGAGCGAGATAGAGAGGAGACGATCAAGAGATTTGAACAAAAGGATGAAAAGTTTAAAATTTAGCTGCGTGAGCATGGGCCAGTTGGTGAACAAACCTTGTTGTGAACACTCATGCGGGCAGCAGAGTTTTGGATGGCCTCAGGATTACATCACCTGATGAGTAACCTATAACTCCTTCCCTTACAGCATTGTGAGAGCTGATGTGGGAAGATAAAGCTGTTAAGACAGCAGCACATGGTTGGGAGAATGAGCAATGGTAAAAATCTCATTTAGATACAGTCAATGGAAAGAAGAAAAAAACACTAAACAGAGCTCAAGGGCACCCAAAAATAGAGGCAGAGAAGTAAGACAAGTGCAGAGAGGGGAATGTGAGACGATGGTGAGGAGTGAGTAAGGATAGTTAAGTCCAGAGGTAACAAAGGAATGGACGAGAGTTTCAGCAGCAAATGAACAGAGACTCGGAGGAGTCGGGTAATGTTACTGCGGTGAAAGTAGGCAGTCTCGATGATGGTAGGGATATGTGGTTGAAAACTCATCTCTTCACCATGGTTATGACTTGTTTGGTTCAGACTTCAGCAGTTGCCACAGAGGGTTGAGAGTCAGTTGTGAGGCCGTAGAGTTTGTGTTGGGGAATGAAGATAAAGGCCTCGGTTTTGCCAGTTAGTTAATGGGAGGAAATTTCTGCTCCACCAGGACTGGATGTCAGCAATGTTTGGATGGTGTGTGACCTGGAGGGAACTTGGAGGTGTTGGTGTTCACATCCACCTGTTACCCTGCCCCTTCTCAGTGGTGGAGGCTGAGTGTTTAAAAGATTCTGACAGAGTTCTGGTCAAGTTGTAGGTGTCCAAAATCCCCCTCCTTCATTCTCTATCTCTACACAGAAGCCAATGTCTTTCGAGATTGTCTCTGACTGTCTTGTTTTTTGTTTGATGTCCATTTCACAAGATATTAGAAGGAGAAGATTTTCAAACGCACCGTCACACCAGGATCTGATGGAGTCACCCATTTTATCACAAATGGAACATGATCAGATTTTAAACCTGGAAGGAAAAAGCTCCATTCACACTGGAGAGAAACTGTATAGGTGTTGTGTGTGTGGACAAGGCTTCAGCGAATCATCAGACCTCACAAACCAAAAATGCAGTCACACTGGGGTGAAACTGTGGAAATGTGGGGATTGTGGGGAGGAATTCATTTCCGCATCTGAGCTGGAAACTCATTGACGCAGTCACACCAGTAACAGGCCATTTACCTGCTCAGTATGTAGGGAGGGATTCACTCGGTCATCTAGCCTGCTGGAACGCCAGCTCATTCACACTGACAAGAGACCATTTCAAAGCCCAGACTGTGGAAAATGCTTCAGAACATCCCGGAACCTGATGTCCCGTCAACGAGCTCGCATTAATGAGAGACCTTTTAAATGCCAAGACTGTGGAAAATGTTATAAAACATCTGGGAACTTGGTGTCCCATCAACACGTTCACACTAAAGAGAGACCCTTTAAATGCTGAGACTGGAAAATACTATAAAACATCTGGGGACCTGATGGCCCATCAAAGTGCTCACACGGAGGAGAGATCGTTTAAATGCCCAAACTGAGGGATGTGCTTGAAAAGTCCCAGGGACCTGATGTCGCATCAACTTGCTGACATTAATGAGAGACCTTTTAAATGCTCAGCCTGCAGGAAATACTACAAAACCCCCTGGACCTGATATCCCACCAACATCTTCACTCTGAGAAGAGACCATTCAGGTGGTCTCACTCTGGGACTGGGTACAGGTGATCATTTGACCTCACAGAGCACCAGCAAGTTCATACTGGGAAGAGACCATTCAGCTGCTCCGAGTGTGGGAGGGGATTCACTCGGTCGTCCAACTTGCTGAGACACCAGCAAGTTCACACTGCGGAGAGATCTTTTAAATGCCCAGACTGCAGGAAGTGCTACAGAAGCTCCTGGGAACTGAATTGTCATCAACATGTTCACACTGAGGAGAGACCTTAAAAATGCTTAGACTATAGGAATCCCTGTGCAAGTTCTTGGGTACGGTTTTATCATCGTGTTCACATTGAGGAGAGATCTTTCAAATGTCTAGTCTGTGGGAAGTGCTATTGAAGTTCTATCGAATTGATGTCCCATCAACATTCTCACATGATGAGGCACCTTTTCGGATGCTTTCATTGTGGGACTGGGTTCAGGCGATCATCTCAACTCTCAGTAAACCAGTGAGTTCACACTGGGTGGAAAGCATTTACCTGCTGCATGTGAGGAAAAAACAGTTGGGTCACTCATCGGCCCTGCTGAGACAGCAGAGAGTCACCCTGGGGGACAGACCGTTCACCTGCTCTGTGTGGGGGAAGGAATTCACTCACTTATCAATCCTGCAGAGACAACATAGAGTTCACAGATCTCAACGGTAATTGGACTTTGCAGTTCATCACATTCAGGACTGAAAGCAAAGTTTTAATATTCTGGATAAAAGTCAAATAAATTAGCTTTGTATTAAACACAGTGTGGCAGGTCACTGTAAGGATGTGACCATGGAGTACTTGGAAGAGTCAGCATGGCTTCACCAAGGGGGCTTCATGCCTGACAAATCTGATGGGATTCTTTGAGGAGGTACTGAACAACTTGGACGAAGGGGAGCCAGTGGATGTAGTCTGTTGGATCTTCAGAAGGCATTGACTAGGTGCCGTACAGGAAGCTGCTAAATAAGGTAAGGGTCCATGGTGTTAGGGACAAAGTACTGGCATGGATTGAGGATTGGCTGACTGGCAGAAGGCAGAGAGTTGGGATAAAGGGGTCTTTTTCAGGATGACAGCCGGATGACTTGTGGAGTTGAGCAGGAGTCAGTGTTGGTACCACAACTATTGACGTAATGCATTAATGATCTGGACGAAGGAATTCAGGGCCTTGTTGCTAAGCTTGCAGATGACACAATGATAGGTGGAGGGACAGGTTGTCTCAAGGATGTGGGAAGGCTTTAGAATGACTTGGACAGGCTAGGAGAGTGCACAAAGAAATGGCAGGTGGTATACAGTGAAGGAAAGTGTGAGGCTATACATTTTGGTGGGAAGAGTAAAGGCATAGACTATTTTCTGAACGGGGTAAACCTTCAGAAAGCTCAAGTCAAAAGAGACTTGGGAGTTCGAGTTCAGGATTATCGTAAGGTTAACATGCAGGTTCAATTGGTGGTTATAAGGCAAAGGCAAGGTAGGCATTCATTTGAAGACAGCGAGAGCAGAAATGTACTGCTGAGGCTAACCGCTTGTCAAACCGCAGTTGGAAAATTGTGAGTAGTTTTGGGACCTGTATTCATAAAAGATGTGCTGGTGTTAGAGGGGTCCAGAGGAGGATTACAAGATTGATTGCAGGGATGAAGGACTTGTTATATAAAAATAAAAAAGAATCACATATTAGATACAAACAATCACATTTTACATACCATCAAAATGAATCTTTTGAACAGTATAAAGAGTGTAGGGGCATTCCTAAGAGGGAGATCGGGAAGGCAAAGAGAAGATATGAGATAGTCTTGGCAAATAAGATTAAAGATGTCCCAAAGGGATGCCACAAGTATATTAGAGAAAGAGAGCAGCGAGAGAGAGAGTTGGGCTCCATAAAGGTGAAAGAGTTCATCTTTGTGTTGAACCTCAGGAGATGGGAAAGATATTAAATGAATATTTTGCCTCCATTTTTACTGTGGAGAAAGAAATGGAGGCTAGAGAACTCAGGGAAATAAATAATGATATTTTGGAAACAGTTCACATTATAAAAGAGGAATTTCCGGTGGTCTTAAAAGATATAAACGTGGATAATTCTCTGGGCCCTGAGCGCGTGTATCCTCGGACATTGTGGAAAGTTAGGGAGAAAATTGTGAGCTTCTTGCAGAAAGATTTGTATCGTCTCCAAATACTGGTGAGGTGTCTAATAACTGGAGAATGGCTGGTGTTTGTATCTGTTTGAAAAGTGATGTGTGGAGAAGCCTGGGAACCATAGACCTGTGAGCCTATGCATTTGGAGAGGCACGGACTGATGAGGGATAGTCAGCATGGTTTTGTGCAAGAGAAATCGTGCTCCACACACTTCATTGAGTTTTTTGAGGAAGTGTAAAGAAGGTTGATTAGGGCACAGTGGTACACATTGTTTACTTGGAGTTTAGTGAAGCCTTCGACAAGGTTCCTTGTGGCAAACGAATTATTAAAGTTAGATCACATTGGATTCAGGGTGAGTTTGCTAATTGGATACAGAATTGGCTTAATGGCAGGAGACAGAGACTGGTGGTGGAGGTTGTTTTTCAGACTGGACACCTGTTCGACAGGGTCTGCTGCTGGGTCCACTTTTGTTTGTCATTTGTGTAAATGATTTAGATAGGACTATGGAAGGCATGATTAGTAAGTTTGTGGATGATACCCAAATTGCTGGTATGGTGGACAATGAAGTTATTTAAGATTACAAAGAGATCTTGTTCAATTGGATCAATGGGCTAAGGAGTGGCAGATGGAGTTTAAATTTGAATAAATACAAGGTATTGAATATTGGTAAAACAAACAAGGACAGGACTTATACAATTAAAAGCTTTGTGAATCATTGAGGAGAGTCGTATGTGTACTTCAGACAGGGCCATGGAGTGGTGAGGGATAAACGGAAGGTGCAGGCGCCACTTGAATGTAGTTTACTGGTGATCTGAGGGCAATGGAGAAGGGGAGAGGAAGGCTGGATTCCCTTGTCTCTCCATCCAGCTGGTTACTTCCCTGTATTTCATCTTGGAATATCTGGGAGAAACTCCGCTGGGATTTGTCGTCATTTTCACGGGGAGATGGGTGGGTGGGATGGGCGTGCCAGGATATGGGAAAGGAGTGGATCCCACCCCACCTCTATATTCCATTCCCTCCTACTGGCCCCTATTGGTCTGTGTGAGGTTTGTGGGTAAACGGAGCAAATTGTTTCCATTGACTGGAACTTCATTCCTGTCTCTGGGTGTGGGGTGTTGAGGGAATGGGGAGGCCAGTGCAGGCTCTGGGTTGGGGATAAGGAGTGGGCTCAATATTTCAAAAGAGCAGAAACTGCAGGGTCTGACATCCCCACTCCCTCACAGCCAATGTTTGGGATGAGATTAATCCTCTCTTATCAACAAGTGGCCGTTTTCATGTTTTGCTGCTTGTGGGTTCCTGTGCAGTGGAGAGTGTAGGGGCCAAGATTTGTGGTGTTGGAGTGAAAAGGGTGACAGCTGAAAGAGTGACAGGGGGTGGGGGGGATGGGTACAAGTTCTGGGGGAAAGGGCGTGAGGGGTTAACTCCAGTGTTCAGTCCAACCTCAGTTCTAAGTTTAAATGGGGGAGTTTAGTATTTGCTGGTGCACTCAGTGGGGGGAGTCCTGTCTTCACGTCGCAGCCTCTGTGATCTTGCTGTGAGGGGACAGCCTGCAGCCTTTTCCTTTACAGTAGCAGGGGTCCACTATTTCCAAATTCAGATGAGGTGGGTGTGGGGTCGGTTCTGATCTTGGGCGGTGAAGGTTATGAAAACCTTCAGTCTCCTTCAGTGTGGGGAGGCTGGGGACAGCTGGTGGGATCCTGCTGTGCAGAACATCCTTCATTGCAATGTCAGCCCCTCTTTTGTGGGCACAGGGTGTGGTTGGCTCCGACAAGGTTTTGAGGGAATGCCTTGGAGGTACTGGATACGGCTGCCTGTGTAATCTTGCTGTGCACCCCCGCGGTCTGCGGGTCACCCTCAAACACGCTGTGTGCCTGTCTACGGGGCCCTGGGCTGAGGTTGCTGATGGTTTGATAGTGGGTGGAGTGCATCGTCCGTCCTTTTCCCTCAGCCCAGATCCCTCCCACCTCTCGTCACCCCCTCATCCTCCAAAATGTGGTATTGATGTTGCAAATGTCTACGAGACATGGTGGGGAGATTGCAACATGTTGAAAACATAAGGCAGGAGAGGACGTTTCAATCAAAACATAGAGGAAATGGGGAGAGAGAGAGAGACAAATAGATATCGATTGATTGCCAAGAGCAGGAAAAGCTGAGCAGAGGTGGAGAAGTCGATAGGGACAAAGAGAGGAAGGTAGAGGGAGAGGAGTAAAAGAGAGAGAGAGAGAGAGATAGGAGCAGAGACAGACAGCGAGAGAGAGATTGATTCTCGAGAGCAGCAGAAAGCTGAACAGAGATGGAGAGGTGGATAAGGACAGAGAGGGAGAGAGACAGAGAGAGAAAGTTTGATCAATTTCTGAGAGCAGGAGAAAGCTGGGCAGAGATAGAGATGTAGATTGGGATAGAGAGAGGGAGAGGAGAGAGAGAGAGAGAGAGAGAAAGGTAAGTGTATCAGTTCATCATTAATGTTTCATGTAGAAACAACACCAATCCCGGAAGTAGTGGGCATGGGGTCTGTGCCTGATGAATGGGAGTGGGATGGTCATTGGTCTTTTTTTTTTTGGGGTTTTTTTTTTACCATCAGGGTATCAGAAAACCAGCTGGAGGGACGAAGGGAGAGACACAGGCTCTGGGGAGTGACTCCCCACCATTGAGTTATTGCCTGGCCTCTCAGAAAGTAGACACTGGAGGCAGTCAGAAAGCATTTGCCCCTTGATCCCAGATCAAATCTTCAGTCTCTCAGTAATCTCCTCAGGGGGAGAGAAGTAAATTGATCTTATTCTCTGGATTTAAAATCAGGGGAAATTGCTGAAAAATTGGGAGAATTTTGAAATTCAGTCTGTGATGGAATCTCATATGTTCCTCTTCATTTTTGTTTCAAAACTTTGGCTTTGATGTGATCAATTTACTTCTCTCCCCCTGAGGAGATTACTGAGAGACTGAAGCTTGGACACGTAAAGAGGTAGGCACAATCTCTGGAAGTGGAGATGGTCGGTGGGTGGTGGGTGGTGGGTGGTTGGGGGGAATAGCGGGCACGGTGGAGGTGAATCCCAGCCTCTGGAGTAAATATCTCTCTCCCTACTCCCTTCAAACAGAAACACTGAGGCGGTTTGAGCCTCTTCCTGTTCCATGTTTCATATGATGGGCTGTTCTGGAGGGGGAAGGGGAAGTGGGGGAAAGTGTCAGATAATGGAAGTTCAGGCAGCGAGCGGTGGGATCTTGCTGTCCTCGGAAGTGTCAGATTGTGGATGGCAGAGAGTGGTGTGATCTTGCTGTGCTTTTGGTGCTGGATGTTGTTTTTATTTCTCTCCGTCTTTCCAACCTCGCCCCTGAGGAGATTAGATTCGGGAGCTGAAATTTGGGATGATGCACAGACTGAGAGAATCAAATGGTTCTGCCATGAGGAATCTTCAGACAAGAGCTGGAACCAGAGAGAAAGAGAGAGACGAGAGCATTATAATAAACCAGCCCGTCTCCTTGTCGGTCATTTACACACTTGCACACGCATGGGGAAAAGAATTGTGGGGTTCAGGCTGTCTCTGGGGTTTTTACTGCAAGGATATGAGCTCTGGGCGAGGGGTGTGGGGGAGACAAAGGGGCAAAAGGGGGCTGCTGCTAAGTCTGATGCCACAAATTTCACTGCCTCCCTCTCTCTTTGCCTCCATATTCCCACCTACCTGTCCTTCCCACAGTTTTCTATAAATCTATAAATCCCCACATCCTTCGCATCTACCGCTGTTCACTCTTCCCCCACCCCTCATATTCCTCCCTCCTACTGTCTCGACCCCTCGCCAGGTTTTTCAAGAACTATTTTATTGTTCAGTCTTTCTGATTTCCAGGTTTTCCCACTCACCTCTCCACAACATTTCTCTCTCTCTCTCTCGCTCTCACATTGTCCTGCGTGATCTTGCTGTTCCTGCCTGAGGGTCATTCTGTCTGCATCATCCTGTCTCCATCACTCGTTCTGGATGGTATCTCTCTGTCTGCTCTTCTCTCCCTCGATTTTTTTTTTTTTTTTCCTCTGTCCCTTCTGTCTTTCCCACTCTCTGTATCTGTCCTTTCTTGTCCTGTCCATAAAATTTCTATCTTTCTCCTATCTCCCTCTCCCTTCCTCTCTCTCCGCCCCCTCTCTCTCTGTCTCCCTCTTGTTCTCAATGCGATTTCTGCCTCTCTTCCTGATTGTTTCTCTTTCTCTCTTTCTGTCTCTTCCTATGTCCATTCTCCCCTTCTCCATCCATCTATCCCTCCATTTTCCTCTTGGATTCTGTCTCTCTATCTCCCTGTCTGTCCTTCAACGTCTCTTCATGGGTAATGCCAGAGGATCTTCCTGGTCCTTGACCCATCTGCATTTTGCACCATCGTGCTTTGTCTAAACTGAAAGGTGGAAGGGGTTGTTGGCTAAAACATCTTTCTCGGTGAAGGGGGAAGGGGGCCTGCCTGGGGACTGGGATCTTGCTGTGCAGTGAGGCAGTCAGTGAACAGGCCCGAGTGTCTCTGGCCATACTCCCTGGGGCCTCCAGCCCGTGGGGTGGGGTCAGGGATCCAGTGAGGGTGAGGGGGGGGTTTGGGTGTTGCTCATGGGGTGAGATACAGTGGGGTAACTATACATAGTGGAGGGATCACAGAGGAACGAAGAAAGAGGGTGACGCTGCCCGGGGAGCTATCAGAAACTGTGAGGCTGAAAATTTTTGTTGGGATAAAATATGGGGTAAAAGTCAAGGGGGAAATATTTAAATGGGTGCAAAAATTTGTGGGGTCAATATTTGAGATGACATAAAGTGGGGAGGTTGCAAAATCGGGATGGAGAGCAAACTTTTGGAGAACAGAAATTGGGAAATGCAATAATTGAGGGGACAATATTTGGTGGGTGGGGCATCAAAATATTTTTGTAGGGGGAGTGCAATATCTGGCAGGGGCAACAATGTTTTCGGCAGCGCAAGATTTTGGGATTTCAGGGTACGATGCTGTAAGGGTGCGACAAAATTGGGGACACGCCTCTTGGGGGGGTGTTCAAGAGAGGAACAAAACTGGGCAGCAGTGAAACTTGTTGGTGGAAATATTGGAGGCAGAAAATGGAGGGAGAAGAGAGTGTGAAATGAGGCGGGTATACGGAGTCTCAAATTGAATGACAAAATTCGAGGGTCAAATTTGTGGGGACGTTCATATTTGGGGTGGGGGTGGAATTTGGCAATTTTGTATGGAAAGAAAATTTTGGGAGCGAGGCAGGGAAGAAGGACGCAATGAGATGAGACACCGGGAGATGAAATAGAGAAAGAGATGGAGGGAAAGGAGAGGGAGAAAAAGATGGAAGGAAGGGAGAGAGAAAGATGAAGGGAAAGGAAAGAGAAATATGGAGGGAAAAGACAGAGAGAGAATGATGGGGGAAGGAACAAAAGGAGAGGGGCAGGGGGCAAAGAGCAGTTGCTAGTGAGAGAGAGAGAGAGAATGAAACAAAATGATGCAGAAGTTGACTGTGTGAGAGACAGAGACACAGGTGAGAGAAAGATACAAAGAGTGAGAAAGACCAAAAGGGCGACAAGAGGAGACACTTTGAGAGAAAGAGACAGAGACACAAAGGGAGAAGACAGAGAGAGAATGAAACAAAGAGAGACAAGAGTTGAGTGTGAGAGACAGTGACACAAGAGGGAGACAGAAACGAGAGACAAAAAGAGAGACTTAGAGAGAAAGAGACACAAAGCAAGAAAACAGAGAGACAAGAAGAGGAGAAGTCAGTGAGAGACAGCCAGGAGTTCAGGAAAGATACTGAGTCTGCTCACCAGGGCTGCTTCAGGAAGAGGGTGGTACAGGTCTAAGACTAGCATTGAGATTCCAGCTGTACCCACACTGTCTCTCACACAGACACAGACAGCCAGAATAAGTCTGACACCCACCTCCTGGCTTCATCCACATGAAGAAAGGAAGTATGGCTGCCAAGACCAGTTTTATAAACCGCAAGTTCTGTCATTCAAATCGCTCTCTCCTCCCAAATCCCAGCTATCCAGTCAGTTCCCAGCTGTCTCTACCTGGAGCACACATCCTCCAGATATGGAGCAAACCAAGAAGCTTCTTCGTGATGTTCGAAGCCGGAGGTGGGGTGGGGGGCGGGGGCCGTGGGAGGAGGGGTTAGAGAAAGCAGCAACCCAAAAGTTAAGTCCAGTGTCTCCTGATAGTTCCTTCCTTGCTCCCCCACTCACACAAACTTTCTCTCACACAAGTACGAATTGGCCCCAGACCTAAAATTCACACAGAGACAAAGCTGCAGTTTCAAACCGGCTATAAAACACCTTTATCCAGACAAGGGAACAGAACCTTCTGCAGCCAGGAACACAATTTTTTCCCACAGGTGAGCACAGTATTTTCACACAGACTAACACAAGGTGTGAGTGGGACTAGGTAACCATTAAAGACGGGGAGTTTACTTTTAATTAGTTTCTGAGAATGAACATCAATCCGTTTCACAGATGAACATCAGGGGATTATTGGGATCTGTTGTACGAGTGGAAGTTTGTTCATTGTACAAATAATCATGAGTTTATTAAACACATTCACCTCTTTCCTGACAATAGAGCAGGGACATCACAGTACTGTCCCACTTTCCCATTGATATTTCGTCAGTAAAAGCTGGGAATTATCTGATTGAAACAAACTGTGTTAAAGATGGTTAAACTCAGGGCAGTGTCAGTTACTGCACACAGTCTGTATGGGTGTGCTATGTTTCTGTATGTATGTGTGTGTTAGTGTGTGTACATATGCATGTATGTTTCTGTGTGTGTCTGTATGCCTGCGTGTCTGTGTTTATTTGTGTTTCTGTACATGTGTCTCAATGTCTGTCTGCACATATGTGTGTGTCGCTGTAACTGTGTGTGTTTCTATCTCTGTTGAACTACCTATGTATGTGTAGCTGTTTGTGTGTGAGCGAGTGTACATGAGCGTGTGTATTAGTATGTCTGTGATGTGGGGTTTCTGTTGTTTTGGAGGCAAATCCACTGAAATGGAGTTATACCCTTCCCCCCTTTCCGTCTGACCCTCGTGTTTACAGAGATACATTGGTCATGTTGATGTGTGTCTCCATATGTGTCTGTGTGTATGTTTGTATCTGTGTGTCTGTATCTGGCTGCAATGAGATCACAGGAGAGAAGTTTGAATGAATGAATGAATTGAAAACTGATGAGTCAACTGTTTCTCTCTCTCTCTCCTTTCGTGTTTAAAAAGCTACAATATCACCATCTGGTGGCCTTCTCACATCACTACATAAGCGGTAGATTTTTCTTTGCAGAAGGCATCTCAGGTTGCACCGTTGTTTTGTTTTTCAAAAAATGTCTTTGGAGACACAGAGCAGTTTTGTCCGATCGATACTGCCCTTGAGATATGAGCAGGAGGCAAAACGGGAAGGGGGACAGTGTGAATGTGATATGGAGGGAGAGGGAGCAAGGGAGAGAGATGAATTGTACCGAGGCCAGGTTGGAGTGGGTGACCAAGAGGTGGAAGCAAGGACAGAGTGACTTATACCCAACTCCTGAACTCAGCCCGATTCCTCTCCTCTTCTCTGAGGATGACAACTTGGGGCCAAGTCTGTCTCTCTGCTTCTCAGCTTCTACAACACAAAGACAAACAACAATACAACTCATTCTGCTGCTTGGCACTTCTTAATGAACATTTTAATTATTTACAAATTGAAGTGATAGATACAGTCAGTGGAATGGTGCCTTTTCTCACTGGCCCCTGAGTTGAGAGAAATATTGAAATGTATCCCTGTCGCCCCCTGTGGGATAAGGTTGGACAAACCAGCTCTACCCTCAGTTTGTTACTATAACATCAGGCTGCTTCATTGTTAAAACATTGAACTGAAATGAGAAAATCCTGGATGGGTTAACAGGTAAATTTGATTGATTGATGAATTTGGGTAAAAGGATATTCTCGTCAGATTCTCTGAATCAGCTGACCGACTGAGCAGAGACAGTCAAGACAACTTCTTTAAGAGGCTGGGTCATTGATTCTTCTTGGGGACATTCACTGATCCGAGACATAGGAAGGATTCCTGTCAGAGCTGCTCTGCTTTTGCTGTTGTCACTATCAGGACAATAAATCCTGATTTGCTGGATGCAAACAGTAAAAGAGCTGAATCCGAAACAGTAGACCACCAGGGATGAGGACAGAAGTACTATAATGTCTTAATGACACAGCTTCTGGCTTTTTTTTTTTAACTGGGCATCAGTTTCTCCTCAAAAATGATCAAACATTGAGTTTTACAGCATGGAATGAGGAACAGTATTCCAGTTTCCAGGACTTGGCCTGTCGTCTTGTGTGCTCTGACATTTCAAGTATTCATCTCAATGATATTTTCACCGAAACGTTTTAATCTCAATCAATGCAACAAATGTGAATCAAGTTTGAGATGGGAAAACTATTTTCATGTCCCCTCGAGGAACTTAACCTCACCCACAGAAGGAAACAAACAGGGGCACATTCTGCCAAGAGTGACAGAGGCCCCTGGAAAGAACAATCCCCAGAAAGTAGAATTTCACCCACTTGGCTT